GTGCACTGTCCGGACAATAGACGCGTCAGTTAGTACTCACCGAGTTATGTAAGCGACGAGTTGTAGAGACAATCTGTCAAGTGAAGGAATAGTCATTTTTTGATGACACAAGTCATTGACAGAGTGCTTCTCAGTTATACGAGAGAATGAGACACGTTTAGAATAGAGTAGATAATTGGAACACAGTTTGGTGGATGGGGATTTCTATAAGACCCAACTCATATCACTACTGTCGGATATCAATTCAATACTGATTCATCTACGCCTTACATTTGCTGTGCAGTGTCTCTTATCAAGTTATACAAGTGATCTGAGTACGTATATTTTAATAAAAATTATGATATCAAAAAACTTCCAATTCGAATCTTCAACAAATGGCTCCACGGAATTTGAAGATTATCAAAGTAATTCTCCGGACCTTGATGATTCTTCGATTGAGGGGGACGCTAAAAATTATATCAATCTTGAATCACCTGTCACAAAAGTGGATACTGAAGGCTCTATTCATAATAACAAATCAAATGAGAATATTGTGGGACCCCAAACACAAGACGAGCCTGTGAAAAATGACACACAATCAAACCTACCTCTACCTAGAAGAACAGGACTCCGTGAATAAAAGCAAATAGATTACTCGAAGCTGCATGATCCAAAATATTCCAGTGGCAAAAACAAAACAAATTCAGAACAAGCTACTGATTTACAAGCAGGATATACCAAAATTTTAAGCGTAACTCGCAATATTCTTTGCGGGTTTACGGCATACAATACACAGGTCCCCGACCGTATAGATTAGGCAAAAAGATCAAGTGAATGGCCACATTGGGGAATGGCTATCATGGACGAACTTCTATTACATTAGAATTATGGGACTTGGGAACTCTGTGACCTTCCAGCTGGAAGAAAAGCGATAGGCAGTCGCTGGGTATTTGTCAAGAAATTCGATGAAAATGGTGATCTCTCGAGACACAAAGCGCGACTTGTGGCCCAAGGTTTTTCTCAAATACCTGGCCAAGATTATTCAGAGACATTTTCTCCAGTGATGAGATTGGATACTCTACAGATTCTGTGTGCAATCAAAGTTATACAAGGACTTATAGCCAATCAAATGGATGTTAAAGTGCTTACCTGAACGGTAGCATTGAAGAAGAAATATACATGAGACAGCCTCCAGGATACGGTAGTGGCGACGGCAAAGTATGCCGTCTACGTCGATCATTATATGGCTTGAAACAGGCAGGGCGAGAATGGAATAAAAGGCTAAACAAATTCCTCACAGATATTGGATTTCAAAGAGCGACAAAGGAACACTGCGTGTACTCACGAAAAGATTAAAATCGATTTGATATTGTAGGTGTCTGGGTTGACAAAATGTATATCTTGTCAAAATTGCAGAAAGACATGAGTCAAATCAAACGACAAATACACCAGGAATTCGAATCTACTGATCAAGGTGTTCCAAAGTATATGCTAGGTATTGAAATTGAAGTGGATGAAAAAAATCATTCCATTTGTCTTTCTCAAGAGCAGTACATTAAAAAAATAATTGAGCGTTTTGACCTGGATCATGAATACACATCGAATATTCCAATGTCACCCCACACCAAACTCACTCTTGCAACAGAGACTGAAGAACTGATTGATGCAACAAAATATCGATCAGCCATTGGCTCGCTAATGTATGCAGCTATAGCTACCCGTCCAGATATTATATTCGCTGTGACTACATTGGCCCAATTCAATGTAAGACCATTACATGTACATTGGGACGCTGTGATCAAAATTCTTTGGTGTTGTCAGAGCAGCATGTAGACAGCAGGGCGGAGACATGGGTCAAAGAGGTGATATTCAGGCTATAGGGCGCCATCCTACATTATGCATGAGATAGGTGCATAACCGCTCGGCCAAAAGGCCAGACCAGAATCATAGAACTCTAGATCCTGGTTATCTCCACATATATAGATTTGTCAAGCTAGTTGGCTAGTTCGAAGGTCAAGGGTCGAAACAGGACGGAGTCGGGACGGATGTAGTCGGGACAGGATGTGATCAGAACGGGACGAGGGCGAGACCAGACGGAGGTGGAGTCGGGACAGAATGTGATCAGAACAGGATGTGATCTGAACGGGACGATGGCGAGATAAGATGGAGGCGGAGTCGGGACGGAGTCGGGACAGGATGTGATCGGAACGGGACGAGGGCGAGACCAGACGGAGGTGGAGTCGGGACAGAATGTGATCAGAACAGGATGTGATCTGAACGGGACGATGGCGAGATAAGATGGAGGCGGAGTCGGGACGGAGTCGGGACAGGATGTGATCGGAACGGGACGAGGGCGAGACAAGACGGAGGCGGAACGAGATAGAATCGGGGTATAAGGTAAAGCTTATAATAATCGGATCAATCTAAAGTCTAGAATAATTACAAGACAAAAAGCTACAGAACAAATCCAGTCCTAGACCTTCCTCAAGTACTCAAGAGCGGCTACTACAATCAGGGGTATGGTAGTCTACAGCTATAACACAGCAACTGATTGCTTATGTTGATTAGTAACTGTTGCTATCATAACATTGTAACCATCGCAACGCATTGACTATGTTACTAGGGAAGTTCCTGACTTGGTTGACCAGACTAAGCGCAGCATCTCAGCATTAGCCCATGGCACAATGGTAGTGACAAGCAGGCCGTTTTCCTCGTGGGAAAGCCGGTCTGTGACAAGATTATACAGAAGGCAATCCTGACAGGTATCTTAAGGGCACGGCAAAACTAGGTATTTTATATGATCGGTGTCAAGGAGCAGCAACTATCGAGACCACCGGATTTACGGATGCAGGTAATGGAACAAATACAGCTGTTGGCTGCCCTACAACAGGAGGGGTGTACCTCATGGCTGGTGGCGCTATTAAATGGATTTCTGAGCGACAACGCGGAGCAACCTTATCAGACATGGAATCCGAATTAGTCGCATCTTGTAAAACTGCACAAGCTGGAATTTGGATAAGAGATCTGCTCGAAGACCTAGGAATTGTGCAAGGGCCAACAAATATTTGGATAGATAATTCGGCGTCTACACGGGTTGTAGAAAAACCTGAGTCACATAAGCGGGCATTATACATCCAAAGAAAACACTTTTGGATACAACAGCAGTGTGAACAAGGGGTCGTCAAGCTACACAGTGTCGAAACTAGCAAAAATATTGCAGACATATTGACCAAACCACTAGCACGACCCTCATTTGAGAAACATCGTGAAAATCTTGGCCTTTCGAACTGCAGGGGTGAGTTGAGGGAGTACAGTTTGTAAGGAAGCCGCGATTAGATTCTTTGCCCCAACAAGTTGCCACATGATTTATCACTAGCGTTCTCTATGACGTAGTATTAAAAGCCTGGTAAATCCTGTAGTTAGAAACAATAAGGAAATGAACATAGATACGATTTCATTATAGAAGTATTCAACTGACACCGTGCTCCCATCAATTGTGATCAATATTTAACAATATTTAACAATCACTAGCATGATCGACAGCCCAAGAGGGTAGCCGAAACGCCTTCAAAAGAAGGTCGTGGCCCTGCGGCAATATCTAGCAAGCGATACAAGCGCGTTCATCGGGGCCATCTGTTAAGGTTTTAAGTCATATGGGAACATAGTTACTTGTCACTTGATATATCTGATTGGAGTGTGTAGAGGATGAATTCGACAGATTTCGATACTGTCAGAAGTATGAACATATGCTATCTTATGTACATTTATATGACCCATGTCATAGTCTTAGTTCTATCTCGTGATTGACTATCCATAGTAATCACACTACCAATCCAATGCTCATGAATCCACGGTTCATGAGCGGCCATCGCTGCTCCTGCAGCTCAGGTATATCCTCTGCTTGCCAGTCGAATCACTGCCCCTATAATCGCAGCTCAATACCCCAATCGAGCGCCCCTGAATAGCTGATCCAGGGGCGACCGTACTGGTTTCCTCTAGGGACACTCGAGATACACCTGTACACTCGATGCTGTTGCATATACGCTGAGTGGTACCCGACCCCTTGCGGCTAGCGCTTATATTCCAGGGGCTTATGGTGTCGCCAATCCGATGGCTTCCATGTATAATTTTGACCCGAGCGTTCCCGCGCCCAAAGCTTGTGGCGAGCCGTAGATGTGCATGTTGCAGCGCTAGACGTGGGTTCACACCTTCGGTACCGTGACTGTTATTTGCCGGTATTATCTCAACACCATCTCTTCAACATTTGTCAAACGAAACATAGCCTTTTCTCTCCACCCTTTCTAGGGCTAAGTCTAATCCATGAGAGAATCAAGGGAATCGGGGGAAATACTTAAAAACAAATGATTTTAGGAAGCTACCCGATATTGAACCGGACCGTGTCTTTGAGGCGGATCTCCAAGTTTAGGTACTCTAGAGCATTTTCCTATTATGCCACAGCCATTCGTCCCCATAGGCCCGTAAATGTGAATAAAATGTGAAAATAAATAAGAATACAGATATATATTATGGAAATAATGACCACTTGTTAAAGCTTTGTCATTTAGTGATATATATGAGAGTAAGGTTTGTGGGTCACGATGTATGAGATAACTGAGGTGCGCATGTATGAGTTCCTTACTATTGTTGTTGTACTAGTTAGGGTTGTATTGTCTATATGCAAAAGGGATTTCTCCATCTGCAAGTGGGCCAGATCGCTTAGATCTGACTAGCGGCTTTCGCCATCCTGTTCCTTCTCCCCCGCATGGCATCAGGTGCTATACAAGTACTGCTCACTATGAAGTCCGAGGATGAAAAGCGTTAGATTACAACACCCCTCAGTAATTAAGCTTGAAGAACGCATTGATTTATGTAACTATCGAAGTGAAACTAAGTACAGAATCTGTAGTCACTTGTGTATCAACAACGTGGCCTACTTGATAGCCCCAATTATTATAAATTCTAACATATGTTTATATATATATATATATAGAAAGAAGTTATCCAATATTTCATCAAGACACTTAGTGTCCTGATGAGCTATCCCCGTACCATTTGAAGCTTGAGATAAACCCATGTACATCTGACGGCCGAAGATTATCCAATTTCAGTCTTTCTATCTTATCATGAGATGTCTTTCGTTGCCTCTCTTTCGTTAATTCCTTTTCAGTTAAGCCCGGATAATGATCCCTTTTATCTACTAGCGTTTCAAGGAACTCCCAAGTTTCGATAAATCTATTGAATGGAGGGCTGTTACGCCGGATAAATTTGGATATTTTATATCCATTCAAATCTATTGATGTTAGAGAGGTGCTTGCATACCACCCCCCTTTTTTAATTCTGCGGCGAAATATGTGTAAGTAGCCCGTGTACCACATTAAAATCTCATCTTCAGTTTCATCATTTACTTTTTCGCCTTTAAAGTAAACTTGTTCTTCGCCAAACTGAATTTCGATTCCTACGTCAAAATAAATCCGTATCTTAGGTTTCAGATATTCTCTAGGGCTAATGAAATGATGTTTATGAATAGTGATATATCCTTTTAAAGCCAGCTCCAGAAGATCCTTTCCCGTACATGCATTGCTCTTGATTATTTCGCTCGTCCAGATAAGTCTGTAATTCTTTTTCTTGGCCATACTTGCCAGCTGCGTAGAACATGGATTTTCTGGATTAATTCGTCCCTTATCTCTACTCGGACCATCAATAGTGAAGGGAATTATTTGATCGAGAAGTCCATCCATTATGTTTTTCCCATTCCATTTCTGCGAGCAGTAGATTGCGTAAGATGTCCCAGGCCGTTGAGTGTCGCTCTTAATCATGAAAACATCTGAACTAGGCTTGCGCAAGGGGAACTGATGCGCTTTACTTATCTCGCGGTATACATGTGCATATGTATTTGGAAATTCGGTCAAAACCATGCGATCGGCAATGTAGGGGCTCCCGACTGAAAGAAGAAATGTTGCGACACATAATGAGCCCATTTAAGCTCTTTTCTTCTCTGACGGCCATTAGCATATTTCTAGGAAATTGTAGATCCTGCAAATATACGATAAAATTGGAAAATTATTCTAGTACCTAGGACATCCGAAGGTCTACTCTTTTATTTTGGAACGATGGTTCTAATTCGCAGTGGCGTACTGTGAGACGAAATTTTTCGGCCGAAAAGCAACTCTGAACAAAATGGCTGCTTTCCTGGACAAAAATTGTGCACTTCCATCCCTATGCTTCAGTCCCAAATTAGCAAGAGAGGTACTTGATCCATCCAGGATTATCATCCCAGGTGATTACTCGGGCTACCCTTGGGTCTCAATTCCAGTGCTGCTTGGAAAATAAGAGTCTTTCAACTTGGTCCGAACTTTGATTGGCACTAAAATGAGGATTGCACGTCAATATCTCGCCAAATGCGGATCCTCAGTCGTGAAATGTTCGCCAAGGAGAAATTAATCATTTTAAAGGGAATGGGGTGATCGGGAATCCTTCAAGACTTCCTACCTCATCAAATCCTGGCGCAGTGGTACTCGCAAATAAAATCCGAGGCATGAGTGCTCCTGTAAATTGAGTCATCATTACTTTACTTTTCGTTGATATTGTCTCATTGCTAGATAGCTGCATACGCAAATAAAATCTGATGCAAAAAAGATTCCGGGCACACACGAGGGCCAGATTTTAGCATCGTCTCATCATAATCATGGTGTCTCTAGGAATACTCTCATTTCGATGACCACGCACATTATCAATAAGGTCTCTAGGCTGAGATGAGCCTTAAACTCGTGGACATCACAGAATGAACATCCCTAATAGGATATAGATCATTGCGCTAATATCTAACGAGGCAAGTTTTGCGAATGGACGTTTGATAGTTCGGGAGAGATAGACAAAAGTATGCTAAGGGTGAAGCCAGTGGCTGAAGTGATAATTTCTGAATGTTTTTCGGAATGTTAGGGATCTCCGGAATAGGAAATGCCGAGTAAATAAGAAAAAATTTAGACTGCGATTAACAGACATACTGCAGGTATTATTAATTCATTTTATTGTCCTGTCTGAGTCTATGACTATGTAGGACATGCAGGTCCTCTCTGCCTACAGGCCAAGGATACCTATACCAGTAGTATATCCCCTCCTATGCCTCCCATACAGCTCCCCTCAAACAGTACCACCCCTCACAAGTCCTCATTCGATCATACACTAAGAGGAGCCCTTTGCCCTTCATTATCTCCCCTCTCCAGCCAACAAAACGATGGCCATTTGCGGGTGTATGGCAGCCGGGAAAATTCGCAAAAACCACTGGGTGCGGGGCTCTTCTAATACCGACATTAGGAATAAATCCGAAGACATATTGCCCCTTCTGAAGCGTTCGAAGAGGCCGGCCAGCTGGGCGCTGCAGACTTGTGGGTACCTCGGGAAATTCACCCTCTACCTTTCTAGCCTCCTTCCAACTCCTTCCCGAAGGTCGTGCTGAAATGTCAGAAAAGTCTTGACAGAGCGTGATTGCTGTATAGTAGCTTAGCCTAACTTCTTTTGTATCGTCCAGGGCGCTGGGGAGTGCCGTTGACTCATCGATAAAAGAAGCCCTCCTGGCTAATTAGCCGAAATCTTGGTCTTGGCGCCCACAAAAAATCCAAAGTTGGAAACTCCTCGGAAATGTCAGTCCCAACACAGTCTTCAGAGTCTTCTTTCCCCTCTCGCTCCATATCTCAGCTGCCTGTTCTTCCTCAAGATGTATAACCCCATTAGAGCAGCAGTCCCCCATAAACCAAGACCCCAACTTTGTATTTTTCGACTTGATTTCCTCCTTGCGGGTATAAATAGCGTCGTAAATATGTAGAGAGTGATGGCCGGTAATGAATGAGGCAAGCTCCTGTTTGCAATTGGGCTGACGCCTCTATCGGTCGGCGAGGCGAGTTGATATGTGGTTAGATCGGGGTTGAGGACTCAGAAGATAATGGTGAGTGCTGCATGGTTGAGAAGTCGTCAAATGGAGATATGCATGTGTTTGCTTTCGACTTCGATTCGGATGCGATTCTTCTTGGCTATCCCAGATATGCAGAGCATACTGAGCGATTACACCGGCACCACTGGAAGGTGAAGAATTCGTCTTTGCCGGCGACATACTGCAGGTATTATGAGTGGGATAAACACTCAAATCCTGACAATACCGTCCCCCAAGAAGCTCCAGCTCTCACTGTAGAGTCTGCAGGGCCGAGGTTGAGTGAAAAAATCCTCACTTCGATAGGGATTCCCCATCGTTTTCGCGGTCTGTACCATCTCAATCTCTCAAAACATTCCCCTAGCGCCATTATCATGAAGCTAGCCACGATCAGATCAGGTGGTAGGGTCGAAGCCCTTCTCGTCACCGATACTTGATCATGGAGGAAAAGCCATCCAGTTCGGAGATGGCGGATTAGATCAAGTTCGACTCTAAAGTTACAAGAAAGGAAATTTAGGGTAAAGCCCTCATTTTCTATTGGAAAATATTTAAGATACAGCACATATAAAAACAGGTGAATTTTGTTGGTATATTGTTTAGTTCTAGCAGTCCTTCATAGTTATATACTCAGTTGGGACTTAAGTTTCATTCTTTTCTATTCTATTACAAGAAGGGGAGACAAAGTTGGATATTGGAGGACGAACGCTGAACACCTGTCAGTGGTGCCCTCCACGAATCTGGAAGTGAAATATCCCCCCAGAGCCGAGATTCAGTCACGAAAAAGGGTGGGATGAATTTTATTTGATGGATTTTTGACTTGAAAGAGTGGCACTCGATAATTTGGTCGAAAAATCAGTCGGTAGAGATTTCACAGCCGCAACAAAGTCGATGAAAAATTCATCACCACCAACACACGATTCACGAATGGATTTAGGTCTGTTTGGGGTCATATTCAAACATCCGACATCTCTCAAACTCCTCATATATTTGCGAAGAAGTATTTCTCAGTAGATCCTATGCCTGCGATCCACCTCCATACTCGTCCGATCACCTACCTACACACGTCCTAATGAGGAAAGTCATGATGGAAACGGGACGTGTACAATGGAGGAAGAAAAGGGAAACAATACTGAGGTGATCGCACAAATCCCCGATGACGAAAACAACCACATGGTACGATACGAAGGTGCAAGGCTAGAGCAACGATGAGGACTTGGACGGCATTTATATTTCGGAGTCAATGAGGATGTCAAGGGCTCTGGCGCGTGGTGGCCGAGCCGAGGAGGAGTTTGCGCTTCGACGCGTCAAAAGAGGGCTCTCTGGACGGTTGAGCTTGACATGATTTAACACATCGGTGAAGTCTGAGGTGGGACGAGGCACTTGTACTTTACGGTAGTTAACCTGATCCGGCCCGACCTCGCCCGTGCTTAAGCTCCAGTAGGATCAACAGGAATCACTATACCCAGCACGTTAATAAACAAAAAAAAGATGGACATGAGTGCTTCGTGTTTCTCTTGTCTTCCGACCACACCTCGCTAGCGCTGCAGGTGTCTGAAGTATACTTCCCAAGCGCACAGATTCCATTGCTACCATTTATATTTTTTTTGGGTGGAATGATCCACGGAAAAGGTAGCTAAATTTCATGGAGAAACACTGAACTGAATGGCTATTTATGACGGGTAACATATCATCGATCTTTCAAGTAACAGAGGAGGAAAGAAGCACTGCACAAGGTGCGGCCTGAGCCAGAGAAGAGCCGAATATGCTAGATAATCTATGACTCAAGCAGTACAATAAACACACTCCTCCTTCACTCTCTCTTTTCTCGTCACTACAAAAGCTCTACGATTTTCTGTAATTTTCTTTGATATTGTGTCACAGCTAGATAGCTGCATACGCAATTAAAATCTGATGCAAAAAGAGAAGCTCCACGTTTGAGTATCTTTGAACGAACGAAACTTACAGGTATTCATGTCTGCAAAGCAGAAATTGAGCTGGGATCGGCTGTCTGTTTCTTTATTAACGTACTATACAATCGGCAGCCTTTGCAAGCTTGGTGAAGCTTGAGCATGAGTGTGGCAGGGCTGGATCGGGCTTCATTACCATTAATCTGATTAACCCGGCTTTACCTGCGTGACCGGAACCATGCCAAAATGATCGTTAATCTGAGTCAGGGCAGACTCAAAACGATGGGTCTTACCGCGATTCGAACGCGGGGCCTCTCGCAACCGGCTTTGGGTGGTCCCTAAGCGAGAATCATACCTCTAGACCATAAGACCTGTTGTAGGCTTCAGCAGCTATAAAAAATATTATCTTTAGATTATTCTAACGCCAAGTAAGTTCACGGATGTGACCCGGCCTTAATGCGCAAGAACGGATGCTTAGCGTGTCTGCATAGCCTATTGATAACTGGCAATCCCAACGTCTAGAGACTTCTCCATCTTCACTTTTTCCAGATTGGTGCGCTAACTGGAATCAAAACAGATCCTCTAGCTCATTCTGATCGTCTGCCTTCCTCCAAACCTAGCCGCTCGCAACTATTCCTCCTTTATTATTATTATTGTTGGTTCCACTCAGTTTGGGTGTTGCGACCTCAGGCCATTAGGCTCGGCAGGCAATAATAGCTGACTAATATGGAGAGGCCTGTGCGTCTCATCTAATCCGCAAACGTTCAAAACACCCTAGATAGACGTATGTGCGAGTATTTTTTTATTGCACTACTTCAGTCTATGACTATCTAGCACATTGGGCTCCTCTCTGGCCCAGACCATGCCTTTTACAGTGCTCCTTGCCTCTCATGTTACTTCAATGATCATTGACATATTCCCCTTGATGAATAGCCATTCAGCTCAGTATCTACCCGTGGAATTCGCCCACCTTTTCCACGGAACCTTCTTCCCAAAAAAAAAAAAAGAAATGGTAGCAATGGATACTGCGTGCGCGGGAAAAAGTATCAAAAAACCTGCAGCCCCAGCCAGGCGAGGCCTAGACACCGGGACCACATGAGGAGCGCATATTCATCTATATCTCCCTTCTTTGTAACTGTCGAGGCTGACTTGATCCAATCTGCCATCTCCGTATCGGGTGCTGGGTACGCTCCGGAAACTCATCGGATGGCATCTCCTCCATGATCAAGTGTTGGTGACGAAAAGGGCTTCGACCCTACCACCTGATCTGATCGTGGCTAGCTTCATGATAATGGCGCTAGGGGAATGTTTTGACAGATGGAGACGGTACAGACCGCGAAAACGATGGGGAATCCCCATCGAAGTGAGGATTTTTTCACTCAACCTCGGCCCTGCAGACTCTACAGTGAGAGCTGGAGGCTCGTCGGGGCCGCTACTGACAGTTGTTAAGAATAGTCCCCCTAAGTTATCAAAGGATAGGCGTAGAGAGTAACATGATAACGAATCAAATTTTCTCCAGCTGTTTGTTACGATTCTGAGCAAAAAAAACAAGGAAATTACACGAAAATTGTTAGTTTAAATCTCTGCAGCTGTGAAATTTGCCTTCTCAATGATAAAATAAGTCTACACGATCATCACCTTACCCAATTCACGCCTGATTGGGATCCTGACATCCATCTTGGTCCCGACACCCCATCACACAATTTCCGGTAGTCTTCTATTTAATATCCTATTCGGAATTCTACCATCTTAGTAATTGAACGTCTGTCGACAAGACTCTAGTCTAAATGAACAGTGGTCGTGATAAAGTCTTTCACGTAACTCACCTCTAATCTGCTCCATGGTTTCGTTGAATGCCAAAATCGTATCTCTATAGATAGATTCATGATCATCAAGAGCTCGGAGTTAAATTCATATCACTCTAAACAATATTACTGGCAGAGTCGGCAAAGTCGAATTCTTCACCTTCCAGTGGTGCCGGTGTAATCGCTCAGTATGCGCTGCATATCTGGGATAGCCAAGAAAAATCGCACCCTTCGCAACGGCAGCTTGCTGAGCGTGGCCCAGTCGATTTCAATTCACACATGGGCTAGGTTCCGTTCCCGGCACGATAGATCAAAAGTTTAAGTTTGGGTCACTTCTATTCAGTCTTCTAACAACTTCCCGATTGAGTTTGACTGGGAGGACTTAACGACTCACCAACAATTGAAATTAGTTCCGGAGATTGGAATAATTAGACACTAGCCTCGAGTTTGATTTAGAGATACAATAAATGTGTTTACTATACAAAGAATTTTACTGATATGTAATTGATAGTTAATTGTGATCAAATTGCTATATTTCTATATGTGTGGCAAGAAGTCCCTCTATATACATGAAAGCGGGGTTTTCCGCACACTAGTGTGAACTCCAACATACTTCTTAATCTAACCTAAATGGGAAGGTTGTTGGAGATCCTGAAGGCCAATGTATGCCCTCTGGCATCTATTGGCTAATTACTATTCATGCCAGTGAGCGATGATATGGGTTAATCATATCTCATGGCGCCAGTGCATATCATTCTAATATGTACTATTTGTCTATTGCAGCCATGTTGCTGCCTTAATTACAACAACAACAACCCTCCAAAATCAAAGGTAAAATTCCTTTCGCTTTCAACCTTACTAACCTTGTGTGCAGGACTGGGCAATTGCTCGGCCTCATTTTAGACAAGCACCTCGACCGCGACATCAACATTCTCAACTTTTCGACACATTCCAAAGATGGCGCGAATGAAGAAGCCTCATTCAGACAACGAACATTGTACGACAAAAGCTGGGGCACCGATGCCTCGGTTTTGAGCTCTCGATTTCGGAATTTAAGCCCTCTCAAATGGGGGCTGAGCACAATGCAGGGGAGAATTGGGAAGAACGATGTGTGATTTTCAACAGGCTGTTGGCACAGTTGGTCGGGTGCTGGATGTGCTTTCTAGAAGTGGTAGGTTGGATTCCTACACGGTCTGTTTAAGGGGGGACTACGGCTGCTCGTCGTGAAAGAGTACAGGAGGAATTATTGAGGTTTTCCCACGAAGGTTTTCCCTCAATACATGGTCTTAGGATCATGGTGAATGCGTTCCTACCTATTCGACCCGATGTAACTAGCGTGAAGCACGTATTTGGAAAAGTCAGGCAGCGGGTGGGCTTTGCTGGAGAACGGAGGAACATGTATTCTAGATGTCCTCCATGCGTGTCACGTCCATTGGATGGAGGGTGTAAGCCAGGCACGATAAATAAAATCAAATATTACTGGCAGATTCATGGCCGATTTCTTCAAATCAACGAAATTTGCTAAGAACGATTCGACAACAGTACTTTCCAAGAGCTTCATACCAGAATACTCGCGAGAGAAGATTATCAATGTATTCTCAGTGCACTGGTTTTGAAAATAAATGTTTGTTTCGGATGACCTGCGATATTCATACTCTATAAACCCTGCAGGAAGTACCAAAAAAACGATTATTGATTGTGATGGTACGTGAGTTTAATTATTTGCTTAAATTTTCCAGCATGTAATAGACTTTGAAGCGCCATAAACTTCATTTTGCCTATCAAAGTGAGATTATCTACTCCTCGAGTTTCCTCCACCTTGACAGTATGACCTAGGTCGATCAATATTCCTTGAGATACACCACTAGGGGATGCTAGAAATATGTTATGGCCAGAGATATCGCCATGTAGGATCTTCTTTTCAACCAACAGGCTCTGATGCCTACAAGAAACTCCATTATTTTCTTGCAAGAGCGATGGCTGCCGCCACATGGTGTGATAACTATTTTGATAAGCTGTCAATCTTTCAACTTGGGGTTGGAAGTCGACTTCTGTGTACCTTGACCAATGGAAATAACCTGATCAATGCCTCTAGTATTTCATTTTTTTGCACTGCTAAAATCGAGGTCCTTCAGATGACGACTTATGTCACAGAATATATCCGCCAGTACATATTCGACCACACCTACTGTCCAGCGGGCTTCTCGTAGAAAGTCCTTTTCAGATTTACCCGTAGTCTTGACCCACGAATTTTTGAAGACGGCGCTATTTGGCATGAATGCGCTTTTCACATTAGTAGTAAATCGTCATGCACGTAGAGTAGCTTTTTTTTTTTTTTTTTTTTTTTTTAATTCATGGTGTATTCAGCTATCTAGCTATGACACATTTAAAATACATAGATCTAGCCTTCCCCTCCTTATAAATCACTACCCCTTCATTCCAAATTTAACGTTTCCCAATTATTTGTCCTAATTTAACTCCCTTTATGTGCTGCCATACACTTGGATGTATCCAAATATGTTAATAATGCTTCCTTCCCTCTTTTTGTACAAAATAAGGTCGGAAGTGTTCTTGGCTCTATGCCCTTGAAGCATCTGCTTCTCTGGTCTTTGAATTTTGGACAGTGTAACAACAGGTGCTGCACATTTTGCCTTTCTTTTCCACAAAAATTACATGACTTATCTTGAACCTCCCCTATCATGTGCAAGTAGACCCTGGTATTGCCTACTCCTAGCCTGGCCTGGAAAAATCCGGATTCTGTCTCCCTACTGTGTCCTTGAAATCAATCTAGTTTGTAAGAAAATTTTGGATGATTAGTCTGAGCCTGGAGCCTGTAGTACTTGCCAAGTCCTTTGGCCTTTCGGCCCTCCTCCTCGTGCCATAGCTCCAAGTCCCAGTCTTTTTGCCATGCCTCTAGCACCCATTCTCTTGCCTTATGCTTGATGAAGGAGTGAGAGGTATACTGATCCCTTTTCATGGCCTGTTTCTTTCCACCTCCTCTGGCCAGCTTGTCAGCTAGCTCATTGCCTTCTATGCCAACATGAGCTGGACACCAGTGTAGGTAAACTTTGCATCCTTGACATATCATTCTGATCTGATGAGAGAACTGATTGCTGTTGTGTTGGATTCGCAGAATGCTTGCCTGGCTATCAGTGAAAATATGTATAGTATTTTTTGCAAAATATTTCTTCATATATTGGGTAGCCCTTAAAATACAATAGGTTTCGGCATCTGTGATACCCATTGCATCACCAAGATGGTACGAGAAGCATTTCAACTCTCTGGTGAAAGGCAAACGTAGAGTAGCTTGCAGAGCCAGGGAAATGGAAACAGGTTGGTGATAAATTAGATACCACCGTTTGCTACACTCACCCGTAGATTACTCCAAAAAGAGACTAGCTACGGCGCTATCTGGAAGTATGTGGGATTGGTTAATTATCATGTAGATAACCTGTAACATAACATAATAACACAGTTAGATACCATTCGCATCCCGTAACGTTTATTGCCATAATCACCCAAGTGTATTCTAAGCCCCCTGAGTAGTCACAACCATTTAATTGAAGATACCAAGTGTATACAACCATATACATCCCCACCCTTCAATACTATTATCTGTCGTTTCGATGCAGATGGCGCCATGAGTTGCCAGTGTCTCCACCTTGGAGATAGGAACGGGGTTGACGTCGATTTCCCTTGTCTCCTTCAAATCCTTATCAGAAACTGTAATGAAAGACCTTCCATTGACGTGTTGAATAGATGAGTCAATACCAAGTTCTTGATCATTTATCAGCAAATAAGAGTATATCGTCCGTACCAATTTTTACTTTTGAGAAGGTAAGCTTCTCAAGCACGAGCTGTATGCGCCCGAGCGATTAAACACCCAAGTTTCAATATTAGTTTTGAATAGACAGAGCCCATGTAAAAAATGGCGCAAGGGTTGCATGGAAAAACTTCAGGGCAAGTTAAGACAGCTGGAGAAACTTAAATTTCTTTTCGAAAGAGGACTGTTTCGTAAACTCTCCCAGAACTCTCAAATCTTTCCATTCATAAAGCTAGGAGCTAGGTAGCTCAATATTTTCTATGAGAAAGTCAAGTTGCTGCTTATTGGTCGATCCCTTCATCTGGCAAGGAAGTTTTGTGCGACAATATTTGCTCTGCAGCTGAGAGCGTTTCGTTTCTTTGATAAGATTAGAAGACTTTTTAAATGGCTCGTAGAGTTGAGCTGGAGGTTCATTCAGAACATTGTCTGAAGAATTCGAGCCAGTCTCACACTTTATCCTCAGTCATGTTTCGACCAAAATTTTATTATTGCAGACAGTTTTTGGAATTTTCTCTAGTTTGCCCTCTTTCAAAGTTTTTGATACCTGATATTCTTGTTGTTTCTTTAGTTCATCGATTTCGTTACTTTGATAACACTCCCAGATACGTAAAGTTTGATCTGATCAGGCTTATTGACAAAAAATATTTCTCAGAAGTTGTTCAAGTCAGTCATTATGTTACCATAAAGTTCGTTTTCTAGTGCTGTTGTGATTGTTTCAGCAACTTTTAAACCCTATTAACTCCACAATATTTCGATTGAAGGTCTCGCCACCCAAAATTGGTGTCGAAGTTGGTTATGAGCCACCTTGGATGAGGCCTTGCCCAAGAGAAATTGCTTTAACTAGATAGATGGCGGTTACAAGAATAAAGGGCTCAGTTTCATTGTTTAGAATTATATCAATGAGGTGCTGAAATTCAATACAATCAGTGTTCCTTGACTTAATACGTGAGATGGAAAAAATTCCATTTTTGCCAGAAATCTGTGCGGCGTTGAGCGGTACCAATATCATCATTTTGACATCGTGAATATGACTTATTTATCTTATTCACCATGGTCCCATCTCTTCGCCTTCTGTACTTCGACATGGCGGATGTGGGTGCTGGTGTGGGTAAATCCAGCGGTTTCGACGCGTCGCAAAAAGCAGCATTGTGCACTATAGAAAACGGCTGCGGGGCACAGATAGCTCCAAGGATCATAACCTTGAATAAATAGCGAAACTACTGAAACTGGTCAGATTTATTGTCATGGGCGAGATAGACGAGGGGGACCTACCGACGATGGAGGACGTCAATGAAGCCGTCAAGGCCTTTTACTGTCATAAGAATGCATGGGCAACGCTGTCCCTGACCCCGCTTCCAATGGGGGACAGGACCAGCGCTGAAGGAGATAGTCAAGAAAAGCCTCGCGGACTCCGCATGACAGGTCTTACCCGTCTATGGGGGACAATTCTTTGAGATGGACGTGAGAGGGATCAGGACAAATCTTTAAGATGATGATGCAGAAGAATGATGAACCTAGATGGACGTGAAATTCTGGACTTTATCAATAAGTTTTACGAATTGACCTTTGTGCGCGCTAAGACTTCGCTTGCGAGAGTGCAGCTAACACTATAAACACAAGCCAACGATGGAACATACCGTGGTCCGCCTCCTGGTGATGTCCTCTAGAATAGTTTGAGTAGCCTGGGCACCTACTCCACTTGGGAAGGAGACATCTCAGACCATATTTCGCGCGGAGAAAAGTTGAAAGATGATGGAGGCATGTCTGGATAACTTAGGGTTTTTGAGACGTTCCCCTGGGTGGGTATTCACGGAGGAGGGTTGACTTGGGGTGAAGAAAAAGCCGCCATAACTTCGCAGTGGTACTTGCAAATGAAATCCGAGACATGAGTACTCTTCTTTTAGTTTGAGTCACCTATCATACACTTCTCTGATATTGTGTCATAGCAAGTTAGTGGCATACGCAATTAATATCTGATGCAAAAAAAAGGGCTTATCCGTCGGTTGTAGCCCCACTAATGGCGAAAACGGCGGACAGGATCGGAATCGACGGGGCACAAAACTTGCAGCCGCGAGAGCTGCTTTCAAAGGTGCAACAACACATCAATGGATCATTTGCAACTCGAAAGATGCGCAGTAACCACACCGAAGTGTTCGTTCAATTGGCGTCCCATTGAGACGAGGCGCTCAATATGCGACAACCAACCGAATTCAAGATATTACGGCCAGACATCCCCCTGAGATTTCCAGTGTCCCTGTGCGGACTTGAATTGAAGGTGGCAGAGATGCCGATAACCATGCCATCATCAGGGAGATTTAGACGGCGATCAAGGCTCGGATTCCAGGCCTTGCGATAAATCGAATAAGATGGTTACACGATGGTAAGGAACAACAGCGGTCAAAGAAAAATGGCCGCAATCGAGAATCAAGCGTAGTCAGCCTCCCGTCGGAGGCAATGCAAACGGAAATGGTCCAAACGGACTTGTTTTCAACGCCATGCTCTTCACAGCGCAAGTGTGGTCACCACGAGCCCAGCAAATGCATCGTTTCAACTTTAGCCTGTAGAGATACACACAGGCGTCAAGTGGAAAGAAAGCCAGGCGTGGTGAGTGCGCTGGCGCTCACCAAACTCTAGACTGTCCGAGGAAAAGGGTTTCTCGCGCGAACTGCGGCAGGGAACACCATTCGTGGCAAAAAGCAGAGTGTCGGACTCACTAGGCCTGCAAGAGAAGTGTGAAGAAAGTTCTGATGGAGCTTCTATCGAGAACGGCGGATGTTTGGAGTGAAAAACCTACAATAGCGCCAAAGCGAACATTCGGAACTACCGATGGAAGGGGGAGTTGATGAAATTCTGGGTAAGTTTATGAAAAATGGTGTTAAGGAACGTTCTCAGCATTAAGCGGGGTAGGTTCAGAGTTGTCGGACAGTAGACCTTCTTGCTTACAACTTTTTCACTTCTCGACATGGCTTATCGCCTTCATAGTTCTGTATACAGATACCGCACAGGACGTTAAATTAGGGAAATGAATGAATACGTGTAATGATACTCAACAATATTTATTGAAGCTGACCCAGCTTATACTGGTCGCTCATGTGATCCACGTCAATAATTAGAGCCAAGTAGAATTTAGAGAACTTATTCATTGGCTCCAGTTCACGTAGCTTTTTTTTTTTTTTTTTTTTTTTTTTAAATCATTAAGTGTATGCAGCCTATCTAGCTATGACACTGTTCACGTAGCTTGGGTGTAAGAGTTACCGCGGTGAGGATTCTCCGGTTTATTGACAATACGAAAATGGTCCAACATTGTTCCAATTGTAATCAGGAGCTTGCCCCATAGATTCCTGCCATCTCTCACTACAGATTTACGACGCTATTATTATACCCGCAAGGAGGAAATCAAGTCGAAAAATACAAAGCCTGGGTCTTGGCTTATACGGGACTGTAGCTCTTATCGGACAAACATCTTGAAGGGGCACAGGAATCTGAAGATCATGCTGAGACTGGTATTTTCGAGGAGTTTTCAACATTGGATTTTTTGTGGGCGCCAAGACAGAGATTTCGGTTAATTAGTCAGGAGGGCTTCTATTGTCGATGAGTCAACGGCATTTCCCAGCGCCCTGGACGGCACGAAAGAAGTTTGGATAAGCTGCTACAAAGCAATCACGCTCTGTCAAGACTTTTCTAGCATCTCAGCACGACCTTCGGGAAGGAATTGGAAAGAGGCTAGAAAGGCAGAGGGTGAATTCTCCGAGGTACCCACAAGTCTGCAGCGCCCAGCTGGCCGGGCTCTTTGAACGCATCAGAAGTGTAACAGTTCCAATAAATAAAGCTTGGGCGTTCATATGTCGAAAGGTAAGTTTATTTACTAACTGGAGAACAAGACTACTTCTACACTCAACGCCCTATTTATATACATGATTCCAATTTTCCAAACGCTAGTCTCTGTCCTCTAGTCCATCTCCCACTATTAAAGTGTGGGCTAGTTACCAACGATGTTTCGTGCACGGGCAGTACCAGACTTTCAATACCGGCGTATCTTAGCGCTGAGGTAATGAGTATGCATGTGATGAATAGCACAGACTACAGGCAATCTACCGGCTTACTAGCCGCCACAAGAAGGATCACTATGTCTTCGGATTTAGTCCTAATGTCGGCATTAGAAGGTCTCCGTACCCAGTGGTTTTTGCAATATTTCCCGGCTGCTATAAACCCGCAAATGGCCATCGTTTCGTTGGCTGGATAGAAGAGATAGTAAAGGGCAAAGGGCTTCTCTAAGTGTATGACTGAATGAGGACTTGTGAGGGGCAATACTGTTTGAGGGGAGCTATATGGGAGGCATAGGAGGGGATATATTACTGGTATAGGTATCCTTGGCCTGTAGGCAGAGAGTTCCTGCATGTCCTACATAGTCATAGACTCAGACAGGACAATAAAATGAAATAAAAAACACCGTTCCCCCCCCCCCCCCCCCCCCCCGGAAGCCACATTGCCTCTGTGGCGCCGCAGGGTTCGAGAGGACTCTTTCCACGCGCACAGTTTCCATTTCTACCATTTTTATTTTCTTGAGTAGAAGGTTCCGTGAGAGCACCGGCAGAACTATGCGGGGAATGACTAGGCTGGATAACTATCCGTCACAGGCATGCATTAGAGATCTTTTTTCGTGACACGAGGGGACAGCAGCACTGTAAAAGGTGCGGCCTGGGTCGGAGAGAAGCCGAACGTGCTAGAGAGTCAGAGAATCCAGTAGTACAACAAACCAAAACCAACACTATGCTAGCGGGTGATGAATAAAATGGGTGCCAATAGCCTCATGTCTTCCTGTCGTGGATACACCCATAAGAATATACACTTGTCTGCTTGTCACGGTAAAGGAAGATAGATCGAAGAGGTCAACCCTGGTGGAGTAGATTGTCTACAAAGAGCAAACGGAACAACTGCCGAGTTCCGTTAAGCTATATACAGAATGAGTGACGGTGTTGGAAAATGATGCTTAGTCAGCTGGGTGATTCGGTTAAACCCCCTCACCCTCTGTATTTAGCACACACACATTTTTCATATATCTTACTGCACTACTATACATATTCTCCACATACCCTATCTTACCCTCTATCTATTCTCGCCACTGTGACTCCACTCTCTCAATAATCCTAACAGACGGGTTACGGTCATACCGTCACGTGACACAAATCCACACATCATTCCTTAACTCTACTCAACCTGAAGGAGCATATTTTTAACGTTCCGTAGGGTTGGACGGGACATACCGTAAGATCAGACCGGCGCTGTCGTAGTCTTCTAAGTGAGAGAGGGGAATTAGATTTGCAAAATTGGTGTACGAGGGTAAGAAGATGTTGCGTGATGAGGGAATCTTTTGCCCACGCAAAGCCTCTCACTATATGTATTGGAGAGTCTACCATCCTCATCTCTTTACCCCTCGCATGGTTATCCGAAGCGCCGATTTATCGGCGAGTGCGCTGGTGCTGACTAGACTCGGGGCTGCCAGAGAAGAGATTATTGTGCAAACTGCGGCAACGGACACCTTTTTTTTGCATCAGATTTTAATTGCGTATGCAGCTATCTAGCCATGATACAATGTCAAAGAAAAGTACATGATAGATGACTCAATGTAAGGCAACGAATACCGTACATGGCGGAAAGCAGTGTGTTGGACATGTCAACTACACATGTTATAGGCTGCTGCTTCATTTTCCTGGAACCGGAGTAAATTCGGCTCCCAACAGGCGTCATTCCTAATTTAGTTAGGATCATGTAATTGCTTATGTAAAGTCCAAGAGGTGATGCGACGCGTAGTCATTAAACTCTGGTAAATCTCCAGTGGATATCTTCACTTCATTTATCCATATACGTCCTATTTGAGTTTCCAACTATGTAGGACAAACTACTTTAATATAACTTTTCAATTTCATTCTAATTGAGGGTATCCTTCATTTGATGGAGGGATCCCCATCACTGGCTCAACAGGGGGGCACTATATACCTCACAAAAGAAAATTAAAAAATTAAGACAATTAAGCCACACATTTCAAAATTATTTCCCCCCGTATCTGTTACTGATATCTTAGTTAAATCCCCATGTTGATAAGTATTTCTGTAGATAGAAAATAAAGACCTTTATCGAAATTTGTTTGCAAGAAGCTGACGTACCGTCCCTTAACAACACAAGGAGAATGTGGAAAAGCTCAGATGGAGTTACTATCTCGGATAGCAGATGCACAGAGGAAGAAATCATCTGTAGTATCATTACGAGTTATCGGAACATATCACAGCTAGAGGCTCACCATAATCACTAGTCAGATCAACAGCCCAAGGTAGTAGCGGATACGCCTTCAAAAGGAGGCTGTTATGGTTATGAGGTTATGTACGACTTCTTGGAGTTTGGAGCTCAATGGTCTGCGGAGCTGAGGGTAGAGCAAGGTGTGGAGATTAAATTAATTAGAATCTATATGTACATATATGTGTATATAAAAGGGATGAAGCGGCCCTGTCTATCTCTACAAAAGAAGTGTTCCTAATACCATACGCACGAGCCTCGGCTAATCCCTCGCCGTGCCTTGCTAGCCACACTTGGTTTAGTTCACATAATGTCTCATTGCTTACACACGCCCATCCATATTGTATATCACAACAGAGGCCGTGGTCCAGAGACAACATCTAGCAGGCGGTACAAGCGCGTTCATCGGGGCCATCTCTTCGACATGTATCAAACGAAAAGTTGCCTTTTCGCTTCACCCTTTCTGGGGCTAAGTATAATACATCGGGGAATCAAGGGAATTGGGGACATAATTTAAAACCAAAGGTCGCAAGAATGTTCCCGACATTCAGTCGGGCCGTATCTTTGAGACGAATCTCCAGGTTTTGGTACTTCGGAGCTTTCTCCCACTACACTACAGCCATTCGTCTTCATGGGTCCGTAAATGAGAATAAAATGTGACGATAAACAAGAGTATATATAGAAATATAAAGCGGCTGTAGTAAAACCAAGCTGCCCAAAAAAGAGATATAATATATACGAACAATTATCAGGAGGATAGGTATTGCCAAATGAACGGAAATCTGCGGTGAACAGCAAACCAAGAATGGCCTAAATTCTGGCAAACTCAAACATGGCTCAAACTACCTCGGCAGCTAGCAACTGCAGATCCCGAAACTCTCATAGCGGCCGAATATTACCAAAGGAGAGAATCTGCACGGTAAAAGCAGAGACTTCACGACTTACTATTTTTCCTACATCGTAACCTGACCAGGGCCCATAGTAGTTTGGCAATGCTAATTCGCAGTGAGCACATGGGGCTCAACTCGTGTTTGCTCAGAAGAAAAGCACTCGGACTATTTATTCCAGGCTGTCCATGTGGCTACCAATCGCAGAACCCCAAGCACATGATCATATCCTGCCCCGATGGTCAAATGGTAGAGCTGAGATCTGGAGACAAGCCAAAGATCGGCCCTACGAAGCAATGATAAACAATCCTGGAGACATCAAATGGATGATACAGTGGATCCTAAATCACAGTTGGATTGAGCAATTCCAGATGACAAGGCGGTCGAAATACAGCTGAGGGAGAGGACCAGATTAACCAGTTCTTGGGGTCGTTTGAGAGGATGTGGTTGGCTTACATGGATGGCAATATAGTGTATCTGCGCTTCCTGAAGAGAATGTGTGAAAACTAAAGACAACGAGTAGAAAGGTCTGGGTGACTCTCACCGTAAAGCTTTCCTCTCGTGCAAATATTACAGATTTAAGACACCTGCATGGGCCCAAAGGGTGCCATATCAGGATTATGATATCAAATTCAAATATAAATATAAAAAGAAGTAATCCATAGTTTCATAAATACGCTGAGTGTCCCGATGTACGATCCCCGTACCATGTAAAGCTTGAAATAATGCCATGGGCATCTGACGGCTGAAGATTATCCAATTTCAGTCTCTCTAACTTTTCGTGAGATGCCTTTCGTTGTATCTCTATCGCTAATCCCTCTGGAGTCAAGCCTGGATAATGTCTCCTCTTGTCTACTAGATTTTCTAAGGACTCCCAGGATTTAATAAACCTCCTGTACTGAGGGTTGTTACGCCACATGAAATCTGATATTTGGTATCCATTGAAGTCCATGGATGTTAAAGAGGTGCCAACATACCATCCCCCATTTTTGATTCTGCGGCGAAATATGTGTAAGTAGCCCATGTACCACATTAAAATCTCATCTTCAGTTTTACCATTTACTTTTTTGCCCTCAAAGTAAACTTGTCCTTCGCCAAGCTTAATTTCGATTCCTACGTCAAAATAAATCCGGATTTTATTTTCTAGTTTTTTATAAGGGTTGATGATATTATTCTCATGAATAGTTATATATCTGTTCTGAGCCAGCTGCACAAGATTCTTTCCCGTACACGCATTGCTACTTATTATTTCCTTCGTCGAGATGGGATAGTAATTATTTTTCTTGGCCATACTTGCCAGCTGCGTAGAACATGGATTTTCTGGATTAATTCATCCATTATCTCTACTTGGACCATCAATAGTGAAGGGAATTATTTGATCGAGAAGTCCATCCATTATGTTTTTCCCATTCCATTTCTGCGAGCAGTAGATTGCGTAAGATGTCCCAGGCCTTTGAGTGTCGCTCTTAATCATGAAAACATCTGAACTAGGCTTGCGCAAGGGGAACTGATGCGCTTTACTTATCTCGCGGTAGACATATGCGTGAGTCCTTGAAAATTCGGTCAAAACCATGCGATCGGCAATGTAGGGGCTCCCGACTGAAAGAAGAAATGTTGCGACACATATTGAGTCCATTTTTAACTCTTCACGTCTCTGACGGCCATTAGCATATTTCGCGGAAATTGTAGATCCTGCAAATATACGATAAAATTGGAAAATTATTCTAGTACCTAGGACATCCGAAGGTCTACTCTTTTACTTAGGAACGATGGTTCTAATTCGCAGTGGCGTACTGTGAGACGAAATTTTTCGGCCGAAAAGCAACCCTGAACAATATGGCTGCTTTCCTGGGCAAAAATTGTGCACTTCCATCCCCATGCTTTAGTCCCAAATGAGCAAGAGAGGTACTTGATCCATCCAGGATTATCATCCCAAGTGATTACTCGGGCTACCCTTGGGTCTCAATTCCAGTGCTGCTTGGGAAATAAGAGTCTTTCAACTTGGTCTGAACTTTGATTGGCACTAAAATGAGGATTGCGCGTCAATATCTCGCCATCTCGCCAAATGCGGATCCTCAGTCGTGAAATGTTCGCCAAGGAGAAATTAATCATTTTAAAGGGAATGGGGTGATCGGGAATCCTTCAAGACTTCCTACCTCATCAAATCCTGGCGCAGTGGTACTCGCAAATAAAATCCGAGGCATGAGTGCTCCTGTAAATTGAGTCATCATTACTTTACTTTTCGTTGATATTGTCTCATTGCTAGATAGCTGCATACGCAAATAAAATCTGATGCAAAAAAGATTCCGGGCACACACGAGGGCCAGATTTTAGCATCGTCTCATCATAATCATGGTGTCTCTAGGAATACTCTCATTTCGATGAACACGCACATTATCAATAAGGTCTCTAGGCTGAGATGAGCCTTAAACTCTTGGACATCACAGAATGAACATCCCTAATTGGATATAGATCGTTGCGCTAATATCTAGCGAGGCTAGTTTTGCGAATGGACGTTTGATAGTTCGGGAGAGATAGACAAAAGTATGCTAAGGGTGAAGCCAGTGGCTGAAGTGATAATTTCTGATTGTTTTTCGGAATGTTAGGGATCTCCGGAATAGGAAATGCCGGGTAAATAAGAAAAAATTTAGACTGCGATTAACAGACATACTGCAGGTATTATGAGTGGGATGAACACTCAAATCCTGACAATACCGTCCCCCAAGAAGCTCCAGCTCTCACTGTAGAGTCTGCAGGGCCGAGGTTGAGTGAAAAAATCCTCACTTCGATGGGGATACCCCATCGCTTTCGCGGTCTGTACCGTCTCCATCTGTCAAAACATTCCCCTATCGCCATTATCATGAAGCTAACCACGATCAGATCAGGTGGTAGGGTCGAAGCCCTTCTCGTCACCGACACTTGATCACGGGGTACAAGCCATACGATTTATTTATTTATTTATAATATTTAACGTCGTGCCCGCGCACAGCACGTGAGTTCCTAACGTAGCGGTTAGCCCAGTCTAAATTAAACTACCCGACATGTTGGCGCCCTCACAGACCCACCAAAGCAAACAATAGCTAGGATTATATCATCCTACGCTCGAAGATTATAGTGTACATGACGGTCGTCCGTCCACCTAATCTCATGCTATGCCGTTGATACTAAATTAAGAAAAGATTTTACAAAACAAAATTAAAAATAAAAGGAGAAGATTGTTTACATCAGATCGTGATTTAGTTCGAATTAGACTGTTCGTTGTGCCCTTTCGAAGAAATCTGTCACACGCACCCAATTATTGAATGCATCAACTCCCTCCGCCGAAGCAAGTGCCCAGGATATGCTGGGATTAGAGTTCTGTGCCCTGTGGAGCTGAGCTTGGTATTGCCCGAGGTGGCGAAGCCATCCGATTGTTGCGGTGCGGGAGAGAACACAAGATAGAAGTCACGGAACAAGACATAAATATCATACTTGTTGACAGGACTTAAGCACTAGTGCTGGGAATGGAAATAGAATGTACCGAATTGCATATATTATTGTTACATCTATCTAGGGTGTTTCGAACGTCTATGGATTAGATGAGACGCACAGGCCTCTCAATGTTAGTCAGCTATTATTGTCTGTCGAGCCTAATGGCCTGAGGTCGCAACACCCAACCTGAGTGGAACCAACAATACTTAAGATAGTTTTACAGGCTGCAGCCATGTAGTCTAGAGCCGGAATTTATCCGGTCCCTTGCCAAGCGCTAACACATTTGTGGTCAAGCGTTGTTATTGCTTATGCAAAGGGACGCCTTACGCGACGCGTATTTTAGTTCATGAACATCTGTATAGGGTATCCTTCTCTTTAGATAGAATATAAATTCTGATTTGGGCACACGTTAGCTACAAGCTTATGTTCCGTCCTTTCACAGATAGAATGTGGACAAGATACGGAAATCTAACAAAATGACGCACGCCCCCAAAAACCGACAACGAGGACTACTTCAAAGGTCTCCTCAGACTAGCTCATCACTAGTGTCAATAATAACATCAGTCCTCTTTACAGATGAAAGGACGGGAAAGACAGGAATGAGTCAAAGAGGAACACCTCATAGTACCATAAACGCCTGAGCAGGGCCTAGAGCAGCATAGCCATGCAGATAAGAAGGGAACAAATTGGGTTCAATTCCTGTCTGCACAGAAGAAAAGTTCCAGGAGTAGATAATCAACGATGCCAATGTGGATATCCGTCCCAGAATGTGAAGCATATGATCATGGCCCGCACCAGCTGGGCCAAAGGTAGAGGAGAAATACCGAGAAAGGTGGAGAACCGGTCATTTGAGGCCATGATGAAAAATCTCAAACATATTGCAAGGATAACTAGATGGATCCAGCAGGAAGGAAGGCCAGAGCAGTTTCGACTGACGCTTGAAGCTGAAGCCACAATGAGGGAGAGAGAGGAGAGAAGGGGAAAGATGATCTCCTGCCAGTAGCAATGAAGTGGACGGTATCCGCACTGGACATAACGGTGCTAGTGCACTTCTCTAAGGTAGTACCATTTAAAGTGTATATAAATTGAAAATTGAATTGAATACATTACGTATCAGGCTTATGCCATACACCCAATAGGCGTGATACGGGTCTGTGCTCCCTGGGGCCACACTACAACCTAGGTACATAGTTTGCTTCTCAGAAACTATTTGTAGAAAACATAGATAATTAATTAAATTTCGAAAAAAAAACGCCCTGCGCCTTTTCTCCTCCCTCGTGGCCCTTAGTCCTGTGGAAAATTTCCTCCGGCAGGACTTAATCCTCCCGGTTTGCGCTCTGCATCTCGTAACACTTAGTTACTGTTAAGAACTGGAGAAATTTACCCCCTCCCTTTTCTGCCAGCATCTCCCGTCCACTCGGTGGTGGTTCATGCTTCTCTTCTCTCCAGTGCCGTAGAGCAATCCGACATTCGGCAAAATGCCAGGGACGTTTCTCTCTTCCGCAAACGCATTTGCAGTTTTCCCATTCGTGGCCAAACCTTTCATGGTAGTTCCTAAAATCACCATGTCCCGTCCTCGCTGCGACCAAGTGGTGATGCGCCCACCTCGGAAGTGCTAGCTCTGGTGGTCGTTTTCGTTTCATTCGGAGATCCAACTCCTCATAGCGGCTAGGTCTATGTTTTAGCCACCAGGATTCCACCGCTTCTTCACACCTTTGCCTGACAAACCGGTTGAGGGCTGCGAAGGTGTATTTAAGTCCGTCCTTAATTGTTGAGGGAGCTGTAGTCGTTTCAGCCGGGAGTTTCCTGAGGGCTTCCTTCGCCAGTCTGTCTGCCTCCTCGTTCCCAGTGATCCCTGAGTGGGCTGGTATCCACCTGATTTCAACTGATCTGGCTCGTCGTACCAGTCTTGTGGATGTGTCTACCACCGCCTGAGAAGATTTCGTTCGACCGGTTTGAAGAGCTCTTGCGGCTATGGAGTTATCGAGGAGCACTTTTATCGGAGAGCTGCCCGCTTTTCCTATCGCTCCTTCGAGGGCTTTTTGGGCGCCAAAGATTTCGGCATCGTACACCTTCGCCCCTGGCAGAGGACCGGCATCACTCCCAATCATCTGGCCTCCTTTGTATAAGATGTATCCCCACGCCAATCTAGCTGGTCCACATGATGAGCCGTCTGAGTAAGCGCAAACTGTCTCATCCGACAGGCTTGCTATCCATTGCTTAGCGTGAGCTGCTTCTTGCTGCTTATCACCGCCAGTGAGCTGTCTGATGGGCTCAGCTTTTGGGAAATACAGTTTGCCGGGGCCCTCGGCCATCGGCATATTTTTGGCGCTGATCTGAAGTCGCGTGAGGTACCTTTCTGGGCACTTGAATGGCCGGTTCCTCTGACATATGCGGAGACCTAGGCGGCTTACTGTATCTTTTGGCTCCTCTGTAGACCTGAATGCTAAAGGATGCCACGCGTCCAGCCTTTGAATCCGTGCGGCAGCTAGAATTTTTCTCTGCTGTAAGATAATAGCAGATGGGGGAATACCCGACTCTCTGTGTAGCGCCGTTTTTGGTGTAGTTCGCCACACCGGTAGCGCAGCTCGAACTGCCTTCAAGATAGTGCTGTCGAGGAGATCAGTGTGCCAGCCTACTCCTGGGCCAACCATTTTGTCCCGCTGGGTTGTGATTCGGGTGAGACCTGGCCACCGCGCTTCGGCTCCATATAGTGCCGTACTTAGGACACAGGACTGCACTGCTTTAATCATCGGTCCCGGAGCTGCGCCATGCTGGACCGAATTTATCCGTCGTATAGACTGTGTTATACGTTGCGCCTTCCCGCACCATTCCTGAACGTGTTGCTTGAAGTTGAGTTTAGAATCTAGCCATACTCCCAGCCATCTCACGTACGGGGACGGGGCTATGCAGTGGCCTTGGATCTGGACAGCTAGACCTGTGGTGTTCAGCTTTTTCCTTGGCCCACCTCCAATTAACAGTAGTTCAGACTTTGCCGGGTCAAAGTCTATCTGGTTTTCGCTCGCTAATTGGACGAGTTTGTGGACTTCTTTCTGGGCTTCGGCCACTGCTTCAGACGCGGTGCTCCCTATGCTGAGTATAGCGATGTCGTCAGCGTACCCGAATTTTGTGCTCTTGTTTCCGTCTCGCATCAAGATTTCGATG